AGAGAGAGAGAGAGAGACAGTGAGTTAGCATTGGAGGCTTGAGCCCTCCAGGAAACTGAAGGCAGCCTCAAGCAGGCTAAGTGAGCACTCTACGGTGGGCAGGTCCCCCCGCCAGTGTTTCCAGTTTCCCTTTTGTGTCTTGGGAATCTTGGACTCACATCTACCTCAAACTTCACACAAATTTCCCATTAAGATCATCTCTTCAAAGATTCAAAACAGATCTTTTTAAAATCGACTCCAGCAGACACACTGAGAAGAGCTCTTATCATATCTAGAGGCACGGAGCCACATGGGAGCTAGTTAAAACACAACTGGTTCTGACTCCGGGCATTTCAAACTCTTTACACCTGGGGTAAGGTCCCATAATTTGCATGTCCAACAAGTTCTCAAGGACCTAGAGGCCACTGATCCTGACAAGCTTGTGAGATCCACTCATTTAGGCACATCCTTCCACACCTGGGCAACCTCCAACAGCTGGCACTCCATCCAAGGAGATTTTAATTTGTGCTTTTTAGTACAAGTCCAGAAGAAGAAAGAAACCAGAGTTTGGGATTACTACAACATTTCAAAATGATGGACAGGGCATGGCAGTACAGACCTTTAATCCCAGAACTTCGGGAGGCAGAGGCAGGTGGATCTCCCTGAGGTCCAGGTCAGTCAAGGCTACATACTGAGACCTTGAGGGGTGGGGGGGTCAGAGAAGCAGAGGTAAGATGTCAAGGCTGATTAGAAGAGTAGAACGAGGTTAAAGTTATACCTATTTAAGATTCAAAAGAAATGCCTCGAATATGCATTACTGAACGTGCATTACTGGACATGTAATACTGGACGTGTTCGGGGGAAGGCACATGGGAATGGAAACTGCCTTCTCTCCCCAGAGCCCTCTCCTGGAACACTACCCAGGGCTCCAGCCAAACTCAACCACTGTCGACGCAGTCCTGCCAGAGACAGGCAGTGGGCAGGGTTTCCCACGGCAACACCTGCAAAGGACGGGTCAGGAAAAAAGCGAGATGAGCTTTGAGTTTGTGACTGTCCCACCACATCCCCACGTCAGCGCTCCAAGGAAAAGAAATCTCAAGCAGGGAACAGCAGCGAGGGCTGTACACCTCCTTTGTGCGGTCAAGTGGGCTGGGCAAGTGCACCGAGGGCGGACCAAGGGAAGATGCCTAGGTGGCGGACAGGTGCTCCAGCTGCTCCGCGGGGGTCCGGGGGGCGGTGAGGAGGCCGCTCACCTGGTTCAGCTCCGTCTCGGCCGCAATCCTCAGCTTCGGGTCGATGGTGCCCTTCAGCGCCTGGATGATCCGGTTGAGGTCCATGTCCCCAGGCTGGGGCCCTGGCCTCCGGGCCGGCAGGCCAGGCCGCAACGGGACGTCCCCCGACCCCTCTCAGACCCCCTCCGCCGCGGGGGGACGACCTCACCTCTACCCCCTCCACCTGCAGCCACTTGCTGCGCCACTCCGACTCCGCGCCCCCTGTCCTCCCTCCTTTTCCCCCACAACTCTCTCCATTCACCCTTTACGACAGCGGGGAGGAGGCGGGAGAAGCCAAAGGAAGCAGCGCCTCCTTTACGGCGGCCTCTTCCCCTCGGCGTGGTGCACTGGCCGGCTCCCACGGGGGACGCCATGATGATATACGGAAAATGCCCTGTGCCTGTTGAGTACGCACTGAGCTGCAGTGCCCGCAGGAGGCCGCCATGGTGCTGTACTGAAGGTGCTCCGAGCGTGCTCCCCGTAGGGGAACTGTGCTGCTGCGCTCCTGCAGCCGGCTGCCATGCTGCTGTACGGAAACGATCTCCCACCTGTCCACCTCCTGGCATCCTTTTAACAGCTGTTGCAAATTAAGCCTATCTAAACGGGAGTGGTACTTGGGGCATCACAACTGAGCCTTTTCCAAGACAGACTTGCCGGGCCCTTGCAATCATGTACCCTACAGGATTCTTTCCATGTATGAGATCCACCGTGCTCATGCCGTTCACTCAGTGAACATTTATTATTGGGGCGGGGGGGGGGGTTCTTTTTGAGACAGGGGCTCCCTGTAGCCCCAGCTGGCCTGGAACTCACTTTGTAGACCAGGCTGGCTTGAACTCACAGAGATCCTCCATGCCTCTGCCTCCCGAGTGCTGGGATTAAAGGCGTGTGCCACCACACCCGGCACATTTATTTTTTTTAACCATACTATGATTTTTAGGTACCACAAGATGAATTCAATGCAGCTTCATATGAAGGAGCTCATAATGTAATAGAAACAAATACAGAAAAAAAATTCTTAAAGTGCAGAAACGGGCCAAAAAAGCTGTATGACTGAGAATGAAAAATTTTCCAGACCCTCACACTAAAGTGGAGAAAGGCAAGGAGAGGGGTCACACTGTTTCCATCCACTGCATCTGGATCCAGTCCCACAACTGCAATGGCATAAAAATGTCAGCAAAATTTTCCTGAGGTGAACCCAGAAAAGAGTTCTAACTTCATGCTGTAAATATGACTACGGACAAATGCAGCTGGGGGAATGTGAACTTTCCAGGAGCAAATAACCGAGATATACTGCTTCAATTAATTAACTGGATTTTTTTTTTCTTTTCTTTTCTTTTTTTTTTTTTCAGGACAGGGTCTCCCTGTAGCCCCAGCTGGCCTTGAGTGCATATTCACCTGCCTCTGCCTCCCAGGTGCCGGAATTAAAGGCGTGCGCCACCATGCTCAGGTAACTGGATTTCAAGAAGAGGATAGAAAATGTGACAGAAAACTTGGCTGCTGATCCTACTGTCTCAGCCTCCCCAGTGCTAGTCTTATAAACATGAACCACCACATCCAGATCAGTATTCTTTTCTACTTAATCCCCACTCACTCACTCCCTCCCTCCTTCCCTCCCTCCCTGTCCCTACCTCGACACCTGTTGTGCAACTCAACAACTCCTCAGTTCTTAGACTATCTATTCCTGACTACACATGCCTTTCTACTATTCAACTCCCAATTCAACTACTCAAGACTACCCTTGACCCACTATATAGACAAGGAAAATTTGTAGAGGTGCTTTCTTCACATTTCTTGTTTTTATTAATTTTATGTATATGTGTGTGTGCCTGCTTGTCTGTATGTGTACCAGTACATGGACTGTGGAGTCCAGAGGGCCATCAGAGGCCCTGGAACTGGAGTGACATGCAGTGTGAGCTGCTGGATGTGGGTGCTGAGAACCGAATCCAGGTCCTCTACAAAAGAGTAACGCACAACCGCTGAGCCACCTCTCCAGCTCAGTTCTTTGACTTTAACCAGTGCTATGTTTAATTCGTTCAGCAGCTTTTCAGACCCACAGTCTTCTCAAGTTCCCGTTCCATCTCACAGAACCCTACAAACATGAGCATAGCTCCTGGCAGAAGTCACCCAGCCCCAAATTCATCTGTGTACCACTGACCTCCTTCCCTCAGGCTGAGTCAAGCCTTTCCAACTCCTCCAGATCCTGGTTCCACAAACCTCTATCTTTTGTATACTTTTCATTAAAGTAAATCTAGGGTATTTACTACATGTTCTTTGTTGACAATTTGTAAGTCTTTTTTCCTGTGTTTTCAGCCTTTCTCCCCACTAATTCAACTTCAGCCTGAAGCAGAATATATTCTACCTGGATGTGGTAAGTGGCCCTGTAGTCACAATACTCAGGAGGCTGAGGTGGGAGAATCACCAGCATCAACAACACAGCGAGACCTCATCTCAAGGAAAATAAAAAGTAAAAACAATCTCCATAATGCTAATTGTTGCTCATTATTTCTCACTTTCTGTTGCAAAGAATGCCCTTCATCCACTGTTTCCCCAGTCATGCTTCAAACAGGTGTACCAGGCTTCTGGCCAATTCTACCGAAACTGCCAAGCAAAGATTAGCACTGATCCCTTTAGGGACCAAATGCAGGTAATGTTTTAAGCTTCACATTAAATTAGCCAAAAACAAAGAAAAAACCCTTGCTGGGAGTGGTGGCTCATACCTGTAATCCCACCACTGGGAGGCTGAGACAAGAGGATGGCCACAGTTCAAAGCCAGCCTGGGCTACAGAATGAGATTTTAAAACCAGACAGGTAGACAGCGAGTGACTGACCGACTGGCTGGCTGGTTTTAGGGTACGCTCCTAATCCTGAGGTCAGTCTCCCATCACACAGATACTACTCAGGATTTTCTTCAGGTCATTTCTTCTCCACCCCTTCTGCTTGACTACCTAGTATTCACACTCCCTTGAAACCTAAAGCAACTTTTTGTAGAGCACTCTCTGAACTACATGAAGTAAAAAAAAATTAATGGTTTTGTGTTTCTATAAGGTTTACCTAAAGCAGTGGGTACACAGGTAATATTAACTCATTATTCTTATGTAATTTGGATTCCGTGTTTTTTTAATATGATGCTGCACAGCACTCTTCTGAGCCAAATAACTGCCATCTTCATGACCAGCTGTGTCTGCTTGCTAAAGATTATCACAATTGGGCTTATTGACGGTTGTGTTCCTTCATTAAAGGAGGGGTGAGCAGGGTCATTGGACCCTCACCTGAGTATCCAGCAATTCTCAGCTAGCTGTATGTAATTCTGCCCTAACTGCAAATGGTCTGAATTTGGGAAGGCCTATAGTATATTATCTTGGGAAGGCTTGATAGAAAGGTCAGTATCCATGCTGGGTAAAGGCTTTCCAGTGCAAGTACTCTCAGGTGTTCCATATACCTCAGTAACCCCTCACTCATCTTTGTAAGTAAACTTAGCATACTCACTGGTTCTCCAGGGAAAACTGTAATGTCATCAAACATTGGTTTGACACTAGAACCTTAGAAGGGGATGAACTGCTTAGTATTCCCAGGAAGGGAATTCTTACAACAGATGGAAAGTTAATGTGTCTCATGATATTAAAAAAAGAAAACGGGAAGGTGAAAAGTGTTAAAAGGTGTGCAAATGGAGGTATTTTATCAAAGATTTATGTACGCTATGCAAGTGATAAAGGTCTGTATAGGTTTGTTATGATATGTAAAGGGTAAGACAGAAATTATGTATAGTCTTAAGTTTCTAAGATCATAGCTTAGTCAGCTAGTTTAAGGAACAAAATATGTCTAGTCCAGGTTTATCTGAGAACGTTTGGTTTTATCCAAGCTCTAGCTACATGGTAATTAAAAGTACCAGATTGGCGGAACTAACCTTCTTGGTTGTTTAATAGTCATACTTTGAGGCCTATATTAATCTGGTCAGACGGATTTAAAGGGACAGTTTTTGTTACTTGCACTCCTAGGTTGACTAAGTTCCAGGGAAGCCATGGAGACCCCACCAGATGGACTTGAACCAGTGTCCAGTCTACAAAGAGGAGCATCAACACAGAGGAAACATGTCTTCCATGCTTCCAAGTGAAGCCAGCCATTGTCGAGGAGGACCTTTGACTTATCTTCACATAGATGGAACTGGAGAAAGAAAGACCTAAGGAGCCAGGGGCTCCTCCCAAGTCCATGTGGTCCCTGAGGACCAGATCCTCAACCAACCTTAGTAAAAATAAATTCGATTGTCTGGGCCAACTGCATGGTGTTAAACCACCCAAAAGGAAAGTATAACCAGAGTAAAATGATTGCTATATTTCTTTGGAGTCCAAAGGACTGAACATCCCAGACATTGGATTTAAGTTCATAGAAGATGTTATTTAGACAATGTCTCACTAATGATTTGTTCTTTTTTAATATTTTATACATTTTTTAACGTGTATTAGTGTACTGCCTGCATGTGAGTGCACCTGTGTCGTGCAATGCAGCAGAGGTCAGAAGAGAGCTTCGTATTCCCCTGGAACTGGAGTTAAGGACGATTTGTAGCCACCATGTGGGCGCAGGGAATTGAACCTGGGTCCTCTGTAAGAGCAGTCAGTGCTCTTAATTGCTAAGCCATCTCTCCAGCCCCAATGATTTGTTCTCAATAAGAAAATGCTGCTCAAGTGTCAGACTTCAAATTCTGGTCTAATTAACTCTGAAGTCCCTACCTGCAACCAAAAACAAATAAACCTATTCTTGTCTAAAAATTAAATGATGGTTAAATTCGTTCTTTCTCCCTGTCCAGAGGTCATTTGGGAGGGAAATCACACTGTGATTCTTGTCACTCCAACGACTATCAAAGTGCCTGAAAAGCAAATCCTGAGTCCAGCCATGGCAGCCAAAAGAAAAATGAGAAACCCAATAGATGGGTACTTTTGAAGCCCTCATCAAGAAACTGAGTTGAAAATTTACCATTTGACTTCTCCTGGTTCCCTGCCTAGAATTTGTGCCTAACTATTCTTGCCTTACTTCTCCTTCCCCTCCTGATTCCACCAATATCCATCCTCCTCATAATAATAATGATTATCCTATACCTTTTAAATTTTTTTCAGGTCAGGACAGAGTCAATGTGATTCCCGACAGTCAGTGAACCAGATGCTCTTAACTGAATTCCCTCAGGTCTCCTACCACCACCTGCCTGCCTAACCCCACACTCCAATGTTCCAGCCTTTTGAGACCAACCCCCTTTGCCAACATCCCTGTGCAGCGGGAAATAG